GACGAAACACATCGCCCTGCGCTATTTCTTCGTGAAGGACGAGATAGAAAAAGGGAAACTCGATCTGTCATACTGCCCAACATCCGAGATGGCAGCCGATTACTTGACCAAGAAACTCGGAAAGCAGAAGTTCGAATACTGCATGATGCTGACTGGACAAGGCCACGTCACCAGCAGCGACACTCCAGAAGCGAAGGGGAGTGTTGGAAACAATAAGTCCTAAGTGCGCTTCTGTCGTATCAAAACCCAAGGCACCAAGCGAAGCAGTCCCAATCGAAGCATCGAGTCAACCTCGGAGGTTAGGGTAACCGCCTGGAGGTTACGAGAAAGTCAAAGGTCGCTGACCTTTGACTCGACAATCACAGCGCGACAGTTAAGGACACACAACTGACTCGTTACAGAGCAGTTGCCCGAGTCGCACTGTATCGAACCGCAACAGCAATACAGTTATCTACCTATCTATTCGTATTCCCTGTACTCTTATATAAATCCTTGTATTTGCTTGTTTAATTCAATCTACTTTGCTCTCACACACCAGTGCAAGGTCGGTTCACAATCCTCATCAAACGCTTCCGCTATTACAAGTTTTCTACCCAAGAGTTCTCCTCTGCAAAGATCCTAAGGGCTATTTTCTCAGCCCAACAATATGTCTAGTCAGAGTCGGCACATGACTCACATGCTGGTGGTGCATCTGCACCTGCATGCATGTGCACGTGCATGCATGCCCCTAGAGCTTGATGGCACCCACCCACCACACACATCCATGAGGCCATGCGTTGATGTCGCCGGCCCTCCACTGACAGCACCTGCTGCGGTTGAGTGCCTGTGCCCAGCAACCACCTGGCATGCCATGCGTGCTGCCTGCTCTAGTCCCACGCGTGCTTGAATGCCGCCCCCACCTCTACTACTTGATGGCCCCCACGCCACACATCCACACAAGCATGTCTTGAAGCCCTCGGTCCAGTGAGCGCTGCGAGTACTAGAGGTGCAGTCTGCCTGCACGGCCTGCTGCCTGCACGGCCTGCTGCCTGCACGGCCCATGCCACATTCGCACCTCGCATGCATGCGCAGTGCCCTGCCCACTCCCTCCCCTGCTACTTGATGGCCCCCACGGCGCGCATCCACGTGAGGGTGTCTCGGAGCCCTTCCTCCAGCGAGAGCGGCGAGTACTCGAGGTCCTGCTGTGCCTGCTCGCTGCTGTACGCCCAGTCGTGGTTGAATGCGCGCACTGACTGCCGGTTGGAGAGGGGGGAGATGGAGGGCGAGAGAGTGGGAATGGGGAGAAGCAAGGGGGAAGTGCAGGTTTACAGGCATGAAGGGGGATTCGGGCTCCTGGCTACTGGACGCCCAGTCGTGGTTGAATGCCTGCACTGACTGGAGGTTGGGGGAGGGGGAGATGGGAAGGTTGGAAAGAGGAGAGAGAGACGTTGAAGAGAGTGAGCAGGCATGACAGGCAGAAAGAGACTGGTGGGCGGCTGTTGTCGGCCCAGTTGTGGAAAGACCACCGAGAGTAGCAGCACCGGGCACAAGCTGTGTTACAACCACGGCAGTCAACCGCACCAGGCAAAACATTTCCATGCAGTCACCCCATGCGATGACACACGGGCAGACACACAGGTACCTGGTGAGTGAAGATGGGTATGGGCCCGCCCATTTTCGCCACCAGCACCGACACCCACCCCAGCACGGCCACCAGCCACAGCGGCAGGCGCAGGCGCGGGGGGGGCTTCCCTGTGGCGCGGTGCACGGCCTGGAACAGCTGCACCATGGACGCGTTCTCGCCGCCAAGGATGTAGCGCCGCCCGGGCGTGCCGCGGTGCAGGGCGGCGAGCAGGCCGAGCACGACGTCGTTGACGTGCACAAAGTTGTTGAGGCGCGTGCCGCTGCCCAACAGCCCTGGTAGGCGCCCCTGGAAGTGGTCCGCGATCTGATGGCGTGGCGTGGGACGGCATGGCATGGCATTGCATGCGATGGCATGGGGGACACAAGTGCGAAATTGGCGGGGACAAGGTGTGGCATAGGGGTGAGAAGGGGACGGAGGAGGACAGGGGGGCAGGAAAGAGGGTGGGAGAAGATCTATTGGGAGGAGAAGCATGAGCGAGGGAGGTAGGAAAACGAAAAGAGGAGAAGCATGAGCGAGGGAGGTAGGAAAACGAAAAGAGGAGAAGCATGCGCGAGGGAGGTAGGAAAACGAAAAATTGGAGAAGCATGCGCGAGGGAGGAAAGCGAAAGGCGGAGTCGGACAAGAAGGATGGTGGAGTGGGGTGGGGAGGGGCAGGGTAGGGCGGGCGGGGAGAGTGCACAAGAGTTACCATAACCTGCAAGCAACATAACCTCTCCCATGGTGGGTGCCGCCGTACCATCTTGACAACGAGGTTGGAGGCGGTGATCCTGCCGGGCCCGTAGATGACGCACGGGTACACGAGCACCACGTCCACCCCCTCGCTCTCCACCGCCCGCCTCGCCACCTTGTCCGCCACCCACTTGGTGCGCTCGTACTCCGTGCAGAAGCCCCGCCCGCTGTGCTCCTATGATGGGCAGAGGAGTGGCGACCATGGGGCATGGGGGCCACACGGCACGGCATGGGGGCCACACGGCATGGGGGCAGAGGCACAGAGCATGGGGTCATGAGGTACAACACATGAGGTAACGGGACATAGCGCACGGAGCATGCGCATGCACATGCGGAGGTCTGGCAGCGTGTAATGCATGGATCACGTGAGAGTACATGGTTCCATGGGAGTACCTGAGAGGAGTACCTGAGAGGAGTACCTGAGAGGAGTACCTGAGAGGAGTACCTGAGAGGAGTACCTGAGAGGAGTACCTGAGAGGAGTACCTCAGAGGAGTACCTCAGAGGAGTACCTCAGAGGAGTACCTCAGAGGAGTACCTCAGAGGAGTACCTCAGAGGAGTACCTCAGAGGAGTACCTCAGAGGAGTACCTCAGAGGAGTACCTCAGAGGAGTACCTCAGAGGAGTACCTGAGAGGAGTACCTCAGAGGAGTACCTCAGAGGAGTACCTGCGAGGAGTCGCCAATGGTGCCGTCGGTGGGGCCGAGCGCGAAGAAGGACGACACGTACACCACGCGCTGCAACGACGCCGTCTGTCGCAGCACCTGCAGCATGTTCTCCAGCCCGCCCACGTTTACCTGCGCGGGCAAGGGGGATGGTACGGCATGGCATGGCATGCATGCATGGGACAGGGAGCGGAAACAGCATGGATGGTCATGGATTGACTTGCACGCATGAGCCCCACTGCTCCTCGCACTCCCATTCTCTCCTCTCACACCACATTTCCTGCCGCTCGCACTGTCATACAGCGCCCGGCCTCATCCCTCGCCTCCCTCGTGCCCATCGTGCCCCCGCGCGCCACCCCACGTGCAGCCAGACACCTCGCCTGCAGCCGCCTGTCATGCTGTGTGCCCACCAACAACCAACGCGCTGCTCCTGCCGCCAATATCCAACCTTCCTCGCAAAGTGCAATCCCCCTCGCTCGTCCCCTCCGTGCTCCACCTCGCTTGTCCCTCCACCTCGCTTGTCCCTCCACCTCGCTTGTCCCTCCACCTCGCTTGTCCCTCCACCTCGCTTGTCCCTCCACCTCGCTTGTCCCTCCACCTCGCTTGTCCCTCCACCTCGCTTGTCCCTCCACCTCGCTTGTCCCTCCACCGTTCTCTCGCAGCCCCTCACTCACCTCTCTTTCGCCACCATCGCTCCCTTCCCGTTTCTTTCACTAATTCCCCTACCTCTCCACACCCATTAAAGCGCTTACCAAGTCGCTCCCTTACCACCGAACAAGCCCGTTCTGCCCCGTCCCGCTGCCACGACTGCCCCGCCATTCTTACCGGCCCGTCTGATCTGCTCACCCGCTCGAACGGCTCACCCGCTCGAACGGCTCACCCGCTCGAACGCGCGCTCGTCGGGCCACCACGCCTGCACGAGCGCCGCCAGGTGGAACGCCGCCTCGCAGCCCTCCGCCGCAGCCAATACGGACGCGCCATCTGTCACGTCGCCGTACGCGCGCTCCGCCGCCAACGGCAGGTCTGACACGTCGCTGCTGCGCCGAACCAGCACCCGAACCTGCGCTCGTGGTTCGGGAAGAAGGAAGGAATCGCGATATGGCACGCTGCTGCTCACACGAGACTCCAAACGGCGAAACTTAATCGCCTACTCGTTGCACTCATCGTATACACGCATACAACCAGCATGACAAGGGTGTTATAGTGAACAAGCCAATAACGGAGCCTCACATTGTGTCCCACTTCAACGAGCCGCGTTACGAGCGCCGTGCCTAGGAAGCCCGTGGCTCCTGTCACTAGAATCCGCATGGCGGCGCACTCGCAAGCTCAGAGCGAGTTGGCGCGACGGCGCGCGGAGGGATGTACCACGAGCGGAGTCGAAATGACAGGTTTCGCGGCTTGAGGCGAATTCCGCCTTCTCGAGTGCTACGGCCTCTCGCAAGTGAACGCGTGCTAAGCCACGGGTACTAACCCTTACCCGACCCGAGGCTCCCTATGTGTCGAATTCACCAGCGTCGGCAACTCGCCAAAGACGTGAGCCAGAAGTCAGTGGCCTGGCACCTAAGGAGAAACTCCTCGCCGGCTTGCCGGCCTTGGGCTTGTCGTGGCGTGGAGTGTGAGTGAGTGTTGAAGATGAACGAGCAGGTGTGCGAAGCTCGCCAAGGTAGCCCGCCCTCGTTTTCTTTCGCACACGCAAGGTGATCGCACACCCCAAACCGTTTTAGCACGAAGTGCAAGTATTTAGTGAAGCTACACTGCGTAGTGCGTTTTCCCGTCATAGCAACAGCGGTTCTGCTTTCGACCAGCTCTGATTTTCCTTTCCTCCTCTTTTGATTGGCACGCGAGACAAACCACTCTCCCAGAGACTGATAATGCTGCCATGTCACGCGCTAGCGCGGATGGGATTCCGAAAAAGTCACGTCTAATCCGCTATCGCGAATCCAACTGGGATGCGTAGGCTGGGCTGATGCGAGGGTTGCGGGAGATGAGCATCACGGGAAAACACGGGAGCTTCGGGTCAAGCCAGGTCAGATTCCATATCACCTCAGTGATGCCGCATGTTCAAGGAAGCGATCGTTGAGTGCTGACGTGGATTCGTTTCGCGCCACGTCACCACCGTCACCGCGAGTTTCCGCCTTTTCAGTGGACTCAGAAGCGCCGTCACGGCTCGCAAATCCCTAGGCCAGGTCGCGGACGCAGGACCTGCGCTGTTTCTCCTACTCCCTCGCTGTCCCGCTCTCCTCTCTGGTGAAGCGCCAAATCTGCCCTGCGCCGTAACTGCCGCTTCTTCCGCCGCTGCCGAAGCCATGTGGGACGGCGAGGAGGAGGACGACGACAGAGTGTGCCACACGCGCGCGGAGTATCGGGCGGGGAGGCGCGAGAGGGCTGTGCGCGTTTACACTGTGAACGATGAGTCAAGGTGCGGTGCGGTGTGGTGTGGTGTGGTGTGGTGTGGTGTGTGGTGTGTGGTGTGGGATGGGATGGGATTGGATGGGATGGGATGGGATGGGATGGGATGGGATGGGATGGGATGGGATGGGATGGGATGGGATGGGATGGGATGGGATGGGATGGGATGGGATGGGATGGGATGACATGGCATGGATGTTTCTACACAGTCATGTGTATCTCTGGCAGTAACCATACCTCATTGCCACTACTTGTGACTTGTGCCTTGCGCCGTCACATGCGTCACTGCTGCACCGCTCTCCATCGCACCGCACACCGCAGATACCTGATGGTGCGCAACGTGCCGGCGCTGGGGTGTGTGGACGACCTGCTCCGGCTGTTCTCCGCGCATGGGCCCGTTGAGGAGTGAGTCGTGGCGGAGTGAGGTGGGGCGGAGTGAGTTGTGGCGGAGTGTGAGCCATGCCGCCTGCTGCATCATGGCATCATGACATGTTGTTGCCTTGTCAACTAATCATGCTCGCATTCCTCCATGTCTTTGAAGCTCTTTCACGTATGTCATGCAATCATCCCACCATGCCATCATGCCGTTATGCGATCACACCACCACGCCACCACATGACGTGGCACCACATGACATGACGTGGCAGGCACCGCATGATGGACGAGGAGGACGCCCCTCCCTTCACCGACGTCGTGTGGCTCAAATTCACCCACCTCCACCACGCCAGGTGCGGCGTGCGTTGGAATTGAATCCGCAGAAATCTTGGAATTTCAAGCGCACATTGCAGTGCGTGACAATCTAAATATATGCTCAGTGCTTTGTGCTTGCCTTGCATGAATCGTCCAAACACCATGCCCCTTCTCTATTCCCTTCCTCCTATCATTATGTCTCCCTCCATGCTGCCTGTTCCTTCGCTCTGCCCAGGTTCGCAAAGAGAAAGCTGGACGAGTATCCATTCATGGGCAGCGCATTGAAAGTTTCGTACCTGCCCGGGCATGAGGCGATGGAGGACACGTGGGCGAAGCTGGAGGAGCGAGGGCGAATCGTGGCCATTCGTTGCCGACGTGAGAGATGGGGGGTGAATAGGGAAGGGGGTGTGGGGAGTGGGAATCTAGAGGAGTTACGAAGTGGAGAAGTGGGGTTTGTTCGGGTGAGAGGGGAAGATGGGGAGAAGGGGGGAAAGGGAGGTGGGCTTGGAGAGGGAAACAGAAGTAGGCATAGAGGAGGCGAGATGGAGAGAAGGAGGTGGTGTGAGATGGGACAACGTGAGCCTGGCTGCAAACCATGCATTGATGCTTGAAACCACTCTGCCGTGCTGCTGCACTGCTGGGTACCCCTGGCAGGGCTGGCGGAGGAGCAGGCGGGTTTGCAGACGGGTGGAGGGCAGGATGACAGCAGGGCAAGGCACAGAGAGGCGCCCGCAGGGATGGGTGACACTTTACCGGTGGCAGCAACATCAACAGCAGCAGCTTCACCGGCAGCAGCGTTGGCATCAAGAGCTGCAGCACCAGTAGCAGCAGCAGCAGCAGCAGCAGCAGCAGCAGGCAGCATCCCGCCACTGGCACCCCTTCCTCCGCCGCGTCCCCAGGTGTGCCCCGCTGCTCTCACACTCACTGCTCCTTGCCTTGCCTGAACCCCACACCCTAAGCATTCACCTACACTACACCCCACACCCCAAGCCCGCACCCTACGCCATGGGCCCTAGACTTATACCATAGGTGCATGCACATGCAGTGCCAGCCGTGCTGTAACTTTGACCTTGGCCCGGTTCTTCTCTTCTCCTCCCCACCCACCCTCAGGCACCAACCCTGCCTCTCCCTTCCGCCATCCCCGCACTCACTCCACACTCTCGCCTGCAGCCCGCCCAGCCACATCAGCAACCCACCCAGCCACATCAGCAGCTCGCCCAGCCACATCAGCAACACGTGGCAGCAGCTGGCACCAGCAGCGCCATCAACACAGACAGCAGCAGCGACATGATCATTGCAACGAGCAGCAGGGACGCCTGCAGCACCGCTGCCACCAGCAACACCCCTGGCAGCACCTTCGGCACCAGCACCAGCGACACCACCCCCCCACCCCACGCTCCATGCTACTTCGGCGTTGCCTCCATGGATGCTGCTGTGGCCCGTGTGCGATCGCACCTCGCTGTGCTGCACGCCCCACCACATCCCCACAGCACCCCGCCTATTGTATGCCGCATGTTCGCTCCCCCTAGCTCTGCGCTTGGCTCTCCTTACGCCCTGCCCTTCACTCGACCGTCTTCTTCTCCACCCCTTCCTTTTCCCCACCCGATTTCCCCCTTCCTCTCCCCTTCCCCCCCTCCTCTCCCTACCCCCCTCCCCACATCCTGCTCCATTGGTTTGTCTGCGCCTTATGAACGCTCCCACTGTCCTTTCCACTATATTCGTTCAGCATATCCCTTGTGCACAGCTGCCATCTGCTCAGCATGTCCCTTGCCGTGCGTCCCTTCCCCCACTTGTGTGTTCTCTCGCATGCCATCCGCCACTGCAGACAGACACAGCGAGGGACTGTCCGGCATGGGAGCATGGGATAAGGATTGCACACGAGCACCGTTCAGACGGCACAGAGCACACGCACGCCAGGGAGGCGCATGGCAGCTGCCCTGCGAGTGTGGCGCAAGGCATGGCAGGAGGGGAATCGGAGGGTGTAGGTGAGGGTGCCTGTGATGCCGGGGCAGTGCCGGAGGTGGTGCGGGCTCCGGCGGTGGTTCTGCAGACCCACTCGCAATGTGCGCCACGCGATAGTGCAAGCGAGCGTGCTGTTGTGGTGCAGCCGACAAAAAAGAAGCGTAGAAGGATTTAGCTTGAATTGCATATGTAAGACGGGATGTTACTTTACTCAGTTTTCTGGTTGCGGCTTATTGCGGCCCTGGCCGTCCTGTATAGCGCGGATGAAATTCCCACAACTAGAGCAGAGATCAGGGGCCTTCTAAAATCCTTCGCCAATCGCACTCGTCGCGCCATCCCGTTCCACATTCACCTGACCACCACGTCACTGCCAGCTGGCACCCTCGCGATGCCCAAACCTCCGTGCCGACCGGCAGCGCGCCGGCCGCGGTATTGCCCTATGAGGGTTCCGGAAGCGGATCGCCGGTCGTCGTCGCGATGTGCGCGCGCGTGCGCGGTGATCGTTATCGCCGCGTCGCTGCTGCCGTCACTCTCCCTCGCCGCTGGATCCGCGGGAAATACGCGCCGCGTCTCTAGCGAGTCGCGGAAATCGAATTCATCAGGTCCGTCGTGCCGGTCTCGTCTCTGCATCTCAACCGCGCGATCGCCAGCCTCTCCCCTCTCCCCTCGCCTCTCCTCTCTTTTCGCTCCTCTCTCCTCCCCTCTTGCGAAATCGCGCTCTAATCCCGTGCGGCGGCCGTCCCGCATGCTTTGGAGAGCGCGCGGAGTGGCACCAGTCTCGCGCGCCGTCTGCCTATCATCCCCTCCGTCCCACTCATCTCCATCCCCGCACCACATCACTCCACCTCCCGCTCCACTGCCAACCCTCCTTTCCCCGCAATTCCTGCACCTTACGACCCACCCTGTCATGTAACCTCTGCTTCCCCGTCCACCCCTCCGCCGCCTTCCCTCCCCAACTCGCCTCCCACTCCCCCGCCCCGCCTTCCCAGCCTCCCAGCCACCGTCTCGTCCGCATCTCGCCCCTACCGTCGTTCTCTGCTCCGCCCTATACCTTCCCCACACACCCCCCCCCCCGCTTTCCCTTTCCCCACCGCCCCCCTCCCCTTCCTCTCCTCCCTCCTCCCCTCTCTCCCCCGACACCGCTATTCCCCCCCCACACTTCCCCGCGCAGTCCCCCCCGGGCGCTGCATATCGCAGGGCGGGCAGTGGCCGCCCTTCTGGCTGCACGGGAAGCTTCCGCGAAAGAGCCCGAAGGGCGGCGCGCAGGAGCTGACGCTGTGCCGCGTGTACAAGGAGCGCACGTGCTGTGGGCGCGAGAACAGCGACCACGCCCTCATCTCCACCCGGTGAGAGGCGAGAAAAGAAGGTGGGGAGAGGAGGAAATAGGAAAAGGGGGGAAGAGGAGGGGGGTGGGAGGGAAGGGGAAGAGGGAAAGGGGGGGAGAGGAGGGGGGTGGGAGGGAAGGGGAAGAGGGAAAGGGGGGGAGAGGAGGGGGGTGGGAGGGAAGGGGAAGAGGCAGTGGGGCGGAGTGGCGTGGGTGGTGGCGTGCGTGGATAGCCCCCTGGGCTCGAGCGGGCAGCACAAGCACGTGGGTACGGAGGGCACGTGGGTACGGAGGGCACGTGGGTACGGAGGGCACGTGGGTACGGAGGGCACGTGGTGGGGTGAGGCCAGGCGATGGGGAAGGCCAGAGGGGCGCTGTGCCATGCGCCCCGTTTTGCGGTGCCCCCTTGCCCTCTACCCCGTTAAGCAGCTCTGTTCTCACCCCGCGTGCCCCTCTTTCCGTCTTTGCAACTGCCCCCGCCTCCCCCTCTCCTCCCTACCCTGCCTTTGCTCCTGCTGCTGCCCTCCACCTCCCATTGCCCTTCCCCCACTTTGACCTGCCCTTCGCCTCGACTCCCCCCACCTCCCCCTGCTCCGCTCCCCTCCCCCTCGCCCATCCCCCAGGCGGCTGGTGGTGGGGGGGGAGCCCACGGACGACTGCATTGCCAAGTGGGAGGCGCTGCAGTGTGCCACGTGTCACCCCCTCATTGGCACCCAGCACGGGCCGCCCGCCATTTGCAACTCGTTCTGTGACGCCGTCTTTTCTGCGTGTGGGTCGGCATTTTTTGCAGCAGATGGCACCTCCCAGGTAGGTCGTATCAGGTGCTCCAGGTGAAATTTCAGGTTGACCTGGAGTCTGTATCCCATCCCATCACCCTTTTTTGCTCTTTGCTGGTTTTGGGCTCTCCTCCTCATCCTTCCCCGCTCTCCACCCTTTCAACATTCCTCATCCTCAAACCATCTCTCCGCCCCCCATCACCCACTTCCCCCCAACCCATCGTCACCTTCCCTCTCCCTCCCCGCTCCCCCGCCCTCCCCCCCGGCAGCACATCTTCCCCTGCGGCCGCCGCGACACGCTCTGTGCCCGGGCCGACTCTCTTGCTTCCTCCGGCCGCCAGTTCTGCCAGCTGGCGGGCTTTGATTGGCTGCCCGACTCGCACGGGGCGGGGGTTCAGAGGGGAGGGGGGCGAGGGGAGGAGATGGGGGGGAGAGAGGACGAGGAGGGGCATGAGAGGGTGTGCTTTGACGGCACACTCCCTTCTGCCGCTGCTGTTGTGAGGGGGAGGCACAAGGGGGCCGGGAGGAAGGGGGAGAAGGGGAGTGGTGAGGAGGAGGAGGCGGAGGAGGAGGGCAGTGGGTGGTGGGAGCAGTGGGCGGGCGGAGAGGGGGGGAGGCCGTTTGGGGGCAGCGTGGTGTGGATGGTGTGCGGCCTCGTGCTCACTGCTGGCCTCTCCTACATGCGGTCAGTGCGCCTCTCTCCCTCCTCCCCCCTCCCCCTCCCCCCTCCCCCCTTCGCATTTTCCGTCACATAATCATGCTTGCCTTTGCGCCGGCGTGCCTCACCGCCCTCCTCCCTTCCCTCCTTGCTCCCCTCCTCCCTACCGTCCTCACCCATACTCGTCTCCCCTGTGCGTGGCAGGTGGGTGGCGGCACGCAGCCGGCGCAGGAGGCTGTTTATGGGGCTCGTCAAGCGGGTTGGGGGCGGGGGGCGGCAGCAACAGCTGGAGGTGGTGAGGGCGAGGCAGCAGAAGCAACTCGACGAGGCTGCGGCTACTGCTGCGTCCCCCACCTCTACCACCACTGCCTCCGCCGCTGCTGCCACGACCACTGCCCGCAGCACCGCAAGGCAGCCTCGCTAGTGCACGGGTTGCAAGGCACACTCTGCTTGCTAGTGCACGAGTTGCAAGGCACACTCTGCTTGCTAGTGCACGGGTGGCAAGGCACGTTGCTGCTCGCTAGTGCACCGATTTGCAAGGCATGGGCGTATGGGCAGTCATGGGTCGGCTGGCGGTGAGCGAGCACGTGGTAGCTCACCTCTTCTCACCCATGCATAATGTGCCTCACAGTTTACAAGTTGCTTGAGGTGTAACTCATAATTGACTTGCATACAGGTCGTTTTGAGGTGTAGCTCGTTTTGTTTTACCTTGTAGTGTGAGGGGAAGGGGATGGGGGGAAGGGGAGGGGGGAGTAGGGGAAGCGAGTAGTGGGTAGGGGCGAGAGGGGCATGAAATCAAAAGGAAATGGGACATTTGGAGTAGATGAGGGATGTGGGTAGGAGGGGAGCTGGGAACCGGTGTTACCTGGGTCTGGTTACATGATTAGTATATTTTCTCACACTAGAAAGTAGGGACGAGTTCAAATTTGAGGATTGATTAATATAAAAATGATATGCATGGTATATTTTTTTATAAGGTGAAATGCCTTCTTTCAAATTCTCGGTGAATTGAATGCACTTTGTGAGAGGAACTTGGTGGGTGAGAGTGTGATGTGAGACACTAGTTTTTGAAGTTTAGTTGATTTCAATTAACATATAAAGAAACGTGTATAGAGTGTGGAAGTGCAGGCCAACCCGAACGAAACTCGCTTCCTGCAGCATTATTGCCGAAGTCGACTTTATGGAGACCCGTTGTAGCAGGGTAAACCCTGAAGCATACCCACTTTTGCGAGCACGTGGAGAATTATATGGAGCATCATTTGGACTGGACACCAATGGGGATGGTCGCCGCAGTGGTCCTGGATTTTGACTCTCCAATCAAATGCCTTCCTGCCCGTATTCAGCAGTCTTTAGAGGTGTGGTGTGCGGTCTATCAATCTGGCGTAAGCCGTAGCCCTGAAGGGGGAGTGAGATTTGGGCGACAGTGCTGACGTGTGTCGGGGGAGGGCGGAAGTGAGTTTCAGGACTACATGTGTTGCAACTACGACTCCGATTGGCCCATCCCTCAAATCTCCATGGTTAGCGCTGTCTCCTTTCATGTCTCAACTCTAGGGTGGTTTTCCCTAAATCCAGAACGCTTCCTGCTCGACACTACAAATATTGGAAACTGGCCTATTACTAGAATAAATCCGTATCATACACTGGAGTCATCTTCAAACGTTTATGGTTTTTCGTGTGCAGTTCCAAGCATCTCCACAGCTAGAGCATCGATGTCCCCCTCCATTGCCCCGTTACTTCCCGATTGCTGGAACGCGTTCCCTCACCCTCCGCGAATCAGACGGCGGGTTTGGCAATAGGGGAGGGAATTCTCTCAGAGGCGAGGCGAGGCGAGTCGAGCATTAGACGGCCTGGCGAGTTGTCGGGTTACAGTAATGCACTGTGCGCCTTTATCTGCAATAAGCAGGCACGTGCGACGGGAAGCTTTGTCGCAGCACACGGTACGGCGCAATGGTTCATCGCCAACTTGATCGCACTGCGCCAGGGATGCGGCAAAAGCACAGATGCTTGCTGATGCCAATGCCAAGCCAACACATCGGCCTCCCATAATTCAAGGCGGCAGCGCCCGAGTCAATCGTTTTTTATCTGATGCAAGCAAGGCCCCATGGGGGTATCGCGTTCCATTGAAAGCATGGCCTCGCACATTTTCCATGTGAGCGATCGCAGTTCATTTGGCTCCTCGCCGGGATCTGATATATTATCAGCCATTTTAACGGAGGGTGTGAAACGAGTCGGACGGATAGCGATAGAACATACGGCGGTAGGAGTGCGGAAGTGGGGCGCATTATTTCCGTACGAATTCACATGCACCTATAGCTTCCCCCTAGTCATCGAGACATTTGCGGGGGTCAACCAAGCCGGACGTCGCACTAGGATAACGACATGGAGTGCGAGCAGCGTGCGACGCGAGGCGACAGCTGGCAAAATGATGCAAGCTACTCGTCGAGCGACGACGACTCGACGAACGAGACAACAGACATTGGGGGCTCGGGAAACTTTCCGCGGAACGCGGGAGCGCAGCGCGCGGGCGCCGGCAACGGATACGGGCCGGGCGCGCGGGAGCGAGAGTGCAAGGGAGTGCGGATTCCGCGGGGGAGCCAACGCTCTCAATCCGCGGAAGACGCCGTTACCGTGGCCGGCGTTGAGGGCGTCTCACGTTCCGTGAACGCCGCCGCGCCGCCGCTGCCCCGCCTGGACGCGATGGGCGGCGCGGCGAGCCAGCACGTGCGCGCGGTGGAGGACGCGGCGCTGTGGTACGCGTGCGCGGGGCCGCTGGTGACGGTGCCGGCCGTGGGGTCGCTGGTGGTGTACTTCCCGCAGGGCCACGTGGAGCAACAGCAGCGCCTCGCGCAGGTAGAGCCCGTGTCGCGATTGCAGCGTGCTGGGTCGTCACGACTCGATCACTGAGTGGCGTCGCCTAGCCGATGTTAATTCATTGCACGACGCGGATATCAGATTATTCAGGTGGCCCACGTGTGGGTCCGGTGTCTGTGCTTTCACATCCGCCGCGTTTCACGGGTGGCGTCCGCCGCTCCGCCTCTAGTGAGGAGTTTGCCCCACCTCCATGCTCTCCCCTTGCTTTCCCCGTCTTAGTTCACGTTTTCCCCCCTCCCCAATCTCCTGCCCCCCACCCCCTCCACCGCAGCGCGATCCACCGCAACTGACCGAATCGGAGTCGCCGCCGCGCTCGCCGCCGTCGGGGCTGTCGTCGCCGATCGCCATCTCCACGTCGGAATCGGAGTCGCAATCGCACAACAGCGGCGACGACTCGCCAAGCGCGTCGCACGGCAACAGCGGGTTGAGCCAATCGCCCAGCCAATCAGACTCGAGCGGCTGCACTCTCCCCCGAGGCCGTGCATCCGCTTCCCCCCTTCCCGCCGGCCAATACGCGCAAAGCAGCGGCAGTCCTGGCGGAGGGAGCGGCAAGTCGCGCGGAGCGGACAGTGGGAGCGCAACGGAGAGCGCGCAGGCGAAGAGGCGACAGCAGCTGCCGCCCAGCCACATCTTCTGCCGCCTGACGGCCGTCGCGCTTCAGGTACCGCCCGCAATAAGCGCGACGCGACTCTCGCCGTAGACTCCGCCGCGATATGACGGAGCGCTCTTGGCGCCCGTCCACGGTCAATGGCTTTCCCGCCGCAATTACTTGCTGCAATTTCGCCCTCCCAGCGGGATGGCACCAGCAGATGCCACCATGCATGCGCACCCGCTTCCATCCCCTATCGTTCACCCACTCCTCTCCGCGCCACCTCCCCCCCCCCCCCCCCCCCCTCCCCTCCTCCCCCCCCGCTGCCTGTTCCTCTGCCCCGCGCGCAGGCGGACGAGCGCACGCACGAGCTGATGGTGCGCTTCGAGCTGCAACCCGTAGATGAGGTGAGGCGCCCTTCACGGCTGGGCCCGTTGAATCCATGAGCGTATGAGCGGGTGTGTGGCTGCTAGCCTCTCCTCGCCCTGCGCCTGCTTCCCCTCTGAATTTGTTCGTACATTGCCCACGCTGTCCTCACTCCCTTCTTCCCCCTCTCGCTCACCTCTGCGCCATCCCTTTCCTCCGCGCTGACAGCTGCCCTTCCCCCTCCTCCGCCCGCCGTCTAATCCCCCCGTGAGTCCGCTCCCCCGTTCTTCCGCCCGTGAATGAGCAGGCGGAAGCAGTGAAGGCGCAGGCAGCCGCCAGCCAGGAGGCGCGCAAGGCAGGCGCAGCGGGGAGGAGACGGGGGCGCGAGGGGGAGAAGGCGGACGCGCAAGAGGAGCAGAGCGAGGAGGGCAGCCTGGACACAGACGGCGGGCGCACGCAGGCAGCGCGCCCGGGGGGGCTGCAGGCGCAGGCAGGGGTGCAGGAGGGGGTGCACACGCACATGGGCGCGCATGCGCGGCTGCACATGTGCTGCAAGCGCCTCTCCACCAGCGACGCCGCGCCGCATGGCGGGTTCTTCATCCCGCGCAAGGCTGCTGAGTCCCTCTTCCCCGCCCTCGTAAGCCCCCCACCTTCCCTCCGACACCCCCCCCCCCCCTCCACACACGCTCCTCCCCCACGCAACTGTGCTGCTCGTCGCCGTCCTCACCCATTGCTGCGCACCTCTAGCTCCGCGCCATGTCACTTTGTTACACATCGCTCCACCTTCGTATTCTCATCCGCGTTTCTTCCTGCATGATGCAACACCATGGCATGGCATGGCATGGACCACGGCAGGACGCCAATGAGGAGGGGCCATGTCAGCAGCTGGTGGCATCCGACGTGTTCGGCCGCGAGTGGAACTTCCGCCACGTGTACCGCGGGTCGCCGCGCCGCCACCTGCTCACGGCGGGGTGGAGCGCCCTCTGCGCGTCGTGGGGGCTCGCAGCGTCCGACCGCATCGTCTTCCTCAGGTGAGCTCAGGTGTTGTCTCAGGTGGGTGGGGCACCATCGTCTTCCCCAGGTGGGCGCCGTGCTTGCCGCTCGCTGCCTCACTACACGTGCGTCCCCTGCCCACCCTTCTTCCCCTCCTCTTTTTCTCTAGCCGCCACGCGCCTCTTTCCACCATGCCATGCCTCACTCTGCTCCGCTCGCTCTTCCCCCGCTCTCCCTTTCCTCCTCCCCCACCCCCCGGTACTGGCAGGGCGGGCAACGGGGCGCTCAAGGTGGGCGCGCGGCGCAGCGAGGCCGTGCTGGCAGCGCAGCACAGGCGGCAGAGGGAGCGGGAGAGAGGGTGCGGGGCAACCAACTCTGCAAGCAGTGCGGGGGCAGCCAAGGAGGGGACGAGCAACTCGGGTGCACAGGCCACAGCAGCAGCAGGAGGAGGCGGCAGAGGTGGTGGTGCTGTGGCGACGACGGTGACAGCGAGTGAGGTGTTGGAGTGGGCGGCGCACTGCCACGGCGTCAAGAGGGCCTTCTCCGTCGTCTACCACCCCTGGTATCCACTCCTCCCCTCCTCTGCTCCTTCACCTCCTTCCCTCTCCTCGTCTTGCCCTGAGTCTCTTGCTTTTCTCCTCTGCCCTCCCTACCCGTCTCCCCGCTCTTCAACCTCCTCGCCTCGCCCCCATTGCGCTCGTACCACGCAGCCCATGCCACTCCCTCCTCGCACCACCGCTCCCTCTTCCCTCCACGCATCACGACCGCCTCTCACCGCCCCTTCTCTGCGCGTCCCCCTGCGCGTCCCCCTGCGCGTCCCCCTGCGCGTCCCCCCATCCCCCCATCCCCCCATCCCCCAGCGTGGCATCAACGCCAGCGCCCTTTGTGCTGCCCCTCGCCGCCTTCTGCGCTGCGCTGCGCCTCAAGCAGCGCCTGACAGCAGCCAGCGAGGTGCGCATGGCGTTTGAGACGGACGAGCTGTCCACGCACCGCCTGCGCGGCACCGTCACAGCCGTGCACCGGGCGGCCAGCGGCGTGTGGCCGACGTCGCAGTGGCGCAGTGTGTGCGTGCGCTGGTTTGACTGCGACTCCTCGCTGCCCCGCCCCCCCCTCGTCTCCCCCTGGCACCTCGATGACTCGCTCCCCTCCGCCCCCCGCGCCTCCCCCTGCTCCTCCTCGCTCTCCGCGCCCATGTCCCTCTCCCTCTCCACCTCCTCCTCCCTCACCGCCTCCGCTCCTTTCCCTTCCTCCTCCTCTTTCCCCTCCTCCTCCTCCCCCTTCCCCTCCCCCCGGCCCCTTGTCTCCCCCCGCCCGCCCTCATTCCCCCGTGACCCCCGACCCCCACGCTCCAGCTTCAGGGATTCCGCGCTCCCCCCTCTCTCCGCCTCTCCCCCGCTCCACACGTCCCCGTCCGCGCTCATGCCCCCGCCTCCCTCCCCCACCACGGCCAGAAGCGCCTCCTCTGCCCCACACCTCTCCTCCGCGCCCACCCCCCCAACACCTCTGCGCCTGCCCCCCTCCGCCTCCCCCTGCCTGTCCCCTGGCGGGGGGCGGCGCATCAGCCTGGCGGAGTGGCGGCAGTGGCGTGCGCTTGTGAGGCAGTCCCCCGCCGACCACCCTCTCCCCCTCCCCCTGCACCTTCCTGGCAGGGGGGCGGGCAGGGGCGAGGAGAGTGGGCGCGAGGCAAGAAGAGAGATGGGCGGGGATGGCGGGGTGGGCGGGCGGGAGGGGCGTGAGGAAGGATGGGAGGCGGAGGATTTGGAATGTGGAGGGCGGCCGCGAGGGGATGTGGGTGAGCGACCAGTGTCGGCACCTGCTCCGGGACTGGCCGCCACATCAGCAGAGCTGGCAGCAGCAGCAGCTGCGGCATCAGGGGAATGTGCGTCTGTCACCCCACCGCCACCGTCTCAAAGGCAGCAGCAGCAACAGCAGCAGCAGCAACAGCAGGTGGTTGTTACCCGCCCGGTCCCCCGGTCCATCTCCCCCAACATGGCTGCTCTGCTGCACCTCTCCCACTCCCGCCCTCGCTCCCTCTCACTCCCACCCACACCCTCACACTCGCACTCGCACTCCCACTCCCACTCGCACTCGGACATGAGCAGCAGCCGCAGTGAGGGTGGACGGCCAGCAACCCCTCGTCCCACCACACGCCTGCCGCCCGCCGCACCACAACAGGCCGGAAGTGGCGTCGCAGGCAGTGGGGCGTGCGGAGTGCTCCCACCCGCCAATGGCGTACTGCCACCTGGCAGCGCGGTGCGCAAGCGAGTGCGCTTCCAGTGCGACCTCGACCCGCCTGCGCCCTCCCCTCCTCCCCACTCCGTCCCACCCCCCCACTCCTCCCCTCCCACCCACTCCTCCCCTCCTCCCCACTCCACGCAGCCGCCCCATACCCCTTCCCAACCCCACCTCCGCCCCCTTCCCACCGTCCTCTCCCATGCGGCGCCTCCTCCCAGCGCCCCTCGGCCTGCCAGGCTGTCTCTCGCCACGCTGCTTCCACTCACTGACTACCACGTGGCACCTGACTCAGCAGAGCAGCGGCCAGGGAAGAAGGCAAGGAGTGCCGTCCCTTGTGCCAGCTGGCAGAGTGGTGACGTGGAGGGACGCGTGGAGGAGGGCGAGGAGGAGTGTGAGGAGCAAGAAATGCGTGATGCGGAGTGTGGGAAGGGAGGCGAGGAGGAGGAAATGGTGGAGGCGGAGGTGCGCGAGGAAGAGAAGGGAAGGGACGGGGAGGAGGGAGGTAAGGGCGAGGAGGGAAGGGAGAAGAGAAAGGAGGGAGAGGAGGCAGAGCAAGGAGCAGAGGAGGGCATGGCGGGTGGGCAGGGCCACTCATTGTTTGAAGTAGCGGCGGCATCCCTGCTCGTGCTCAAGCACGCCGGGCACCACTCCGCTCCTGCTGCAGCAGCAGCAGCAGCAGCAGCAGCAGCAGCCATGGCTCCAGCAACCCCACCAGCTGCAACTCCAGCAGCAGTGCCTTCGGCTCTCGCCCTCTCGCTCTCCCCGTCACCCCCTGCTCGCCCTCTCTCCATCTCCCATTCCTCAACACTCCACGCTTCAGCTGCCTCAGGTGCCTCAGGTTGGTGCGAGCCCCTCGCACTCTCCCTCACTCTCTCTGTCCCTCTGGCCCCACACTCGCCATGTCAATCTCATTCGCCACAGCGACCGCAGTTGGGGTTAGGTGGGACGGCAGGGCCACACGACGGGCATAGCGTGGCACAACAGGTGGCAGAGCAGCCTGGAGCAGGGAGGGGAGCGGGCGAGTGGGGAGCAGCAGGGAGCGCAGTGCGGGAGCGGGAGGAGGTGCCTGCGACGCCAAGGCAGGGTGCAGAGGCCACGAGGGGGATGGCGGTGGGCGGCTGTGATGAAGACTTGGCGAAGCGCTGCACTGAGGGCCTTGCACCTCGCCCTGCTTCCTCTGCTCTTCCCCCTGCTGCTGCTGCTGCCAGTCCGGCGTGTGAGGCATTGCAGCCAAGCTGCCATGCTGCCTCCACTGCTGCTGGGCAGTCTCGGCGCGTCAAAGTGAGTGATTCCTTGATGCATGCATGCATCACTGCATGGTGCATGCATGCATGCTTGCATGGATCACTGCATGGTGCATGCATGCATGCTTGCATGGTTGAGTGGATGCATGCACGCATGCTAGCCTCTCACACCCACCCGTTGTTCTTTCTCTTGCTTGCCTGTGCTCTCCTCCCTCAGCTGCGGGTGGAGGGAAGCCCAGTGATGCGCACGGTGGATCTGAGTGGCATCGGCAGCTTCCAATCACTGTACGCCACGTGTGCAACCATGCTGCAGCTGCCTCTGCAGCAGCCGGGGCAGCCCTCAGAGGGTGCCACGTGTCCCTGGCAGCTCACCTACACCGACGCCGATGGCGACACGCTCCTCGTCGGGGACGGGCCCTGGAGGTCAGCAACCCCTCGCTGCACCTCCTTCCTCCCACTCTCTCACTGCATCTCATCCCTCCTCCCTCTCGTTTTCTCCCTCTTGTTCTTCCTCTCACTCCTTCCACTTCCCTCTGCTGCTCCTCTACTTGCTGCATCTCCGCCTTATGCTCGTGTCCTGCCTCCTTTAGACCCTGTGAGCTCCACGCCATGACTACTGCACTGCCACTGGCATGAAGCCGTGCTCACTATTGTCCTCCTTGCTGCCTCTCATGTTCTTCCTTGTGTCGCTTGCAGCGAGTTTGTGAGGGATGCGCGGAAGCTGAGTGTCATAAGAACGCCCCAGCTTCAGCAATGGGGGGAGAGGTGCTGATAGCAGATGCAGCTGAAGACATCACCACCAACATAATTTATTTGTATCTCTATTATCTGCATCTGGTTTGTAGGGTAATTTGCTTAGCTTGATATTTGTAACAAATTATAAATTTTGACTCCAGCCTAGTCAATAACCAATAGAAGGTTGACGCATACCAGTATGTGGATAACATCATCAACAGCATTATTTGCATAAAATAAATTTCGATATGAAAGAACATATTCAATGCCCAACTTTTGACGACTAACTATTGAATACAAGCAAGCACGGAGGAAGAGTATTGAAAAGTCATATCCAACATAATACACACCCTGAAGCATCTTAATTCTCAGGGCTTCGAAACAAATCAAGCCATTTGAATGCCCTTGTACGACGCAATCGTGGGCAGGTCGTGGCCGTCGTACGCCGTGTACAGGCAGTCAGGCGACAGCACGCCCGACGTGCGGTAGTCCTTCACGTTGCCGTCCAGGAAACCAGCACCACTTGGCCCGTCAGCAGCAATTGGGCGGCCAATCACCTGCGAGAGCGTGTTGTAGTCGAGCGCGCGCTTCTCGCGGCCGTCGCGATACGTCTGCCCCATGATGCCGTGAATGTCGTCGGTCCTGTAGATGTGCTCGAAGTGCACGTTCAAATGCGCCTCGGCATCGTCCTTGGTCTGCAGCAGCGGGTGCGCCACGCGGAGCTTGATGCCCATCTTGAGGAGCCCCTCGATCTCCAAGTGATACGAGTCCACGTCGAAGAAGCCGCGCCCGGCCTTCTCGTACGCCTCAAACGCGAACGTGAGCCCGCCCTTGAGCGAGTACTTCTCGCCGAGCTTCAGCAGCGGCAGCACGTGCCCGTCGTACTCGATCTCCTTCAGGAAGCCCTTTCCGCGCGCCGTCTTCTTGCCGTCACGCGCCAGCAGGCGGAACGAGTGCTTCTTGCCGGCGGCGTCGGTCCAGAGGAAGCCCAGCTCACGGATCCACGTGCGAACCGCCTTGCCGTTCTTGAGGATGGACGCGCCGGTGGTGCGCGTGTCGTAGTAGCCGCGCATGCGCATGTTCACGTGCAGGTTGCGGTCAGTCAGCAGGCAGAACGACTGCTCCGGCAGACCGTTGAACTCGAAGCGCGTTCCGTGCGCGCCGCGGAAGTGGGGGTCGTTCTCGCCCTCGCCGCACGGGTGGCCGACGACGCTGATGTTGGCGTTGTTGCGTGGGAAGGTGGTGCCGTCGGGCAGCTCCATGTCATACTGGGACGTCACGCACCTGGGCGAGAAGCCCGGCGGGTACAAAATGCAGATGCCGCACCCGTTGCACGTGGCGCCGCCAGGCTTGAACATCTGCCAGTACGAGCACGTGGTGCTATTGATACAAGAGCTGCAACACTGTTGCTCCGTAATAGCATTGCCGGTGCAGAAAGGAAGCCCCAAGTTCTTGTTGGTGGTAGCAGTGGTACCCGTGCAGCGGTAGAAGGGGAGCGAGTACTGGCCCATGTAATAGCGGGTTGGGTATTGCTCGGCGCAGTCTTTAATGCACAGCTGGTTCTCCTCGCACGACGTGTAAGTAACTCGACCGCTGTCGAAGTCGGCCTGGTGCCTGTTGTCGTTCCATGTAATAGCACGCGCCGTAGCAGCGCAAGCAAGAACTAACACTAGCGCAATGGCGAGACGACCCATCTTCGTTTATCGAGCTCAGCAAGGGCAATGGCGGAATAAGCTACAACACTAGAAGAGAAGAACTGAAATCAGACAACGACCTACGTTTTCTGATCTACAGGGAACAAAGCAGGACAATGGGAAGGGGGGAGGGCAGGGGTGTTTGATCTGAGAGCAAGGACCGGTGCAATGGATTTTGTTGTTTTGCTTCACACACATTCCGTGACGGGAGCAGGTGCCCCGAGGCAGGTGAAAGAACGATCACTCATCACTATAAACACTGTATACAAGTCTCGACAGCTGAAAACAACCTGCGCTGCGACTACTAGGGCGGACAGCACAAAACTCAGGTGAGCATGCGTACATCAGGACAGGGTTACCAATGACAGTGTCGTTTGCGCTGAATTGGAAGTAGGTGGAAATGTCTTGTGGAAAGCGGCCTTCGCAAATATACAGGGTTACTACTGGAACTGCAGTCGAGCTTGATCGTCAGGGGGGCAGACGTGAGTAGCGAAAAGGTGCTGCGTGGACGAACACTCATCAGGGAGAAATTCAAAAACGACCAGCAGGACACCTGAGATACCGACAACTCGACGGAAAATAATGACTGATGGAGAACCTCCACACGTAACCCCAACCACTGTTAATCTGCCCCCCGCCGGTGTCTGCGCAAGTCCCAACAACGTTCGAAATGGAACACCAAAGAAGCCCCACACCCGTTGGCTGGTCGACACGGGCATGAAATCAGGGCTGGGTACTTGGATGGTCAGAGTTACGAAATAGTGTACATGTTATGAATGAACTTGCAGAGTGCGCAGAATATCGAATAACGAGAATGAACTGATTGTGAAAGTGTACTTAGGCTGACTGGCAAAGGCAGCGTTATCATTTCATATGGGCTGTAGTACATCGTTCTCGTCTTATATATGTCTACATAACAGCATACACAAATGGGTGGGCGGGTGGGAAATTAGAACTACAATTTTGAAAATGAAAACGTGGGTGGGGACGAATGTCCCCACGTCCCTCTTTTGTAGGCAAAAGAGGGTGAGTAGCGCTTCGGCGCTACCTTTGCTGTGTTGGCCACGTACCCCTTTTCACAATACAAAATTTTAGAAAGTGTTACATTTCATTACACTTTAAAAAATTATCATATTGTGAAAGTGTACTTAGGCTGACTGGCAAAGGCAGCGTTATCATTTCATATGGGTCTTCTGAGGCAAGTGCAGTCGGGGCTGCCGGTGGTGTTCGATGGATAGCTGATGCGTAGCGGGCGAGGGAGCCGTCGAAGGATCCTGCAATTGCGTAGAGAGGGAGATGAGCTGATCCTGCGCGATTGTAACGTACATCTCCTTCGCGCTGTCGCTGCGCCATCGGCCCATGCGTTTGAAGAGCCGGTCAGGAACTCCGAGGCTCGCCACTGCAGTGGCTGCGCCTTTGCGGAATGAGTGGGTTCCGATGTGCGCGACATCCAGTCCAGCTTGCCTGCCGGCTGCGAGGCACCAGTTTCTGATCGTAACGTAGGATGGCGATTTGTCGTTCGGTGTGGCTTGTGAGTTCTTTGGGAAAACCCTTATCAGCGGTCCATGGGGCACCTTTGTGAGGCCTGCGATGTGTATGAATGCGCGCGTGCACCTCACCGGGCAGTATGGGCCTGGAATTGCCGCCACGGGGATCCAGACTCCCCTCCCCTCCTGGTCCGTCTTGGAGTGCGGAATGAGCAGCCACATTGCCTTCTCCTCGAACTGTACGTCATTCCATTGGAGCGAGATGAGGTCGGAGTAGCGCAAGAATGCCAAAAACATGAGAAGAGGAATCAATCCTTTCTGGTATTCCGCAGGAATTGATGATTCGAGGAAGGGACGAGCCATGTCGTGCACTTGATGGAGAGATATGGGCTCTTTGGTTCTTGTAGGGCGGGGACCATGTCTCTTGGCAAACTCCCGCACTTGCAGGGTGAGTGGGCCGGCGGTAGGGGAGGTTTCGCCTGTCATGCGGTGGGCAAAGGCTACTGCCGAATACGTGAGGTTGATCGCGGAGAGAGTTGCTTTGTTGTTGAGCGCATGGATGAGATACAGCGCTAGCGTCAGGTCGGTTGCCGGGAGGAACTCGAGCTTAACTTGGGTACAGAAGGTGCGAAATCTCTGCCAATAAGGTTGGTACGTCTCGATTGTAGATGGTGCGCGAACGTGGCTAATTACGTGCAGCAATTGTTGCTTTAGTTTGGCCAAAAGTCCTGAAATGACACATTGAGAAATTGTTATTAGACTGCATAGTTTACACGCAAAGCAATGATTGGGCTATGAGGCAATCCGAGACCAGAGAATGCAGCTGTGTGTGAACCTGCCCGAAGGCATTAACTGCCTTGGGCAAGGGAAAGGTGCTCGACTACTGCTGGAGCCCACGATTGAGTGGACGGTTGAAGAAGCGGCCACCATGACGCTCCGGTCCACTGGGGAACGACGAGCGTGACATCTGTCTGCGTCAGTTCTGCGTGGCGGAGTGTAGCGGGAATTAAGTGTGGAGGCGGGAAGGCAAAGCATCGCTCGCCTTTCCACGAGATGGAAAATGCGTCGACGGCGAATGCGTCGGGGTGCGGTATCTTGGAGCAGAAGCGCTGAACGTGATTGTTCCGAACGTTAGCAAAGAGATCAATTGTGTGAGGCCCCCAGCGTCGTTCCAAGAGGCGAAACCAAGGTGCATGTAGGGAGTAGTCGTCAAAATCTTGCATCTTGGATAGGTCATCCGCATGGGCGTTGAGCTCCCTCGGAATCCATTCGATCGCGAGGCGTGTTGTGTTTGTCAGAACTTATAGCTTACTTGTTTCTGTAGGCTATAGTGGGGTATCCCATAGGGGGTACAACCCAATTAGGGTTTCCTATTTGTACTCACTTCGTTCATAGTCATTCTCTTTCTTTGGTTTCACATGGAATCAGAGCAGGTTCCCTCCTAGGGACTGCTTCTAGGGCCCACCGAACCGCGCCCCGAGGCGCGTTTTTTTTTAGCGACCCATCGTGTCGCCCCTAGCGGCCCGTTGCGCCGCCCTTCCCCTAGCGGCTCCGCCGCCCTTCCCTAGCGGCCCCGCCGCCCTTCGATCGCGGCCCCGCCGCCCTCTGCTACGCGGCCCCGCCGCCGCCCTTCGATCGCGGCCCCGCCGCCCTCGGCTACGCGGCCCCGCCGCCCTCGGCTACGCGGCCCCGCCGCCCTCTGATACGCGGCCCCGCCGCCCTTCGATTGCGGCCCCGCCGCCCTCTACTACGCGGCCCCGCCGCCCTCTGCTACGCGGCCCCGCCGCCCTCTGCTACGCGGCCCCGCCGCCCTCTACTACGCGGCCCCGCCGCCCTCTGCTACGCGGCTCCGCCGCCCTTCGATCGCGGCCACGCCGCCCTCTGCTACGCGGCCCCGCCGCCCTCTGCTACGCGGCCCCGCCGCCCTCTGCTACGCGGCCCCGCCGCCCTCTGCTACGCGGCCCCGCCGCCCTCTGCTACGCGGCCCCGCCGCTCTCCTCGGTCGCGGCCCCGCCGCCACTCTGCTACGCGGCCCCGCCGATCCGCCCAGCAGCAGCCGCCGCCGCCTGAGCCGCCGCCGAGCCGCCGCCGAGCAGCCGCCGAGCCGCCGCCGAGCCGCCGCCGAGCCGCCGCCCGAGCCGCCGCCGAGCCGCCCGTGCCGCCCGAGCCGCCGCCGAGCCGCCCGTGACGCCCGAGCCGCCCGCGCCGCCCAGCAGCAGCCGTGCCGCCGCCGAGCCGCCGCCGCCTGAGCCGCCGCCGAGCCGCCGCCGAGCTGCCGCCGAGCCGCCGCCCGAGCCGCCTGCGGAGCCGTGCTGCTGTTCCTCTGCTGCTGACCTACCCGCCTCTCTCAGCCCGGTGAGATTCTCAGCTGCTGTCATGGCCACCCCCAATGTTCTTACCTTTGACGCTGAGGGGAGGGCCATTGACTTTGCCGTCTGGATTGAAGACCTGCAGCTGTACTTACTGTGTGATGCGATAGATGAGGTCTCTCTCTTTGACTTTGTCTCTGGCGCTGTCCCTGCCCCTCCTGCTGATGCTGACTCTGCCGTTCGCTCCAAGTGGGCGACCCGCGATGCTGCTGCACGTCTTGCTGTGCGTCGCCACCTCCCTTCCTCTGAGCGTGCCCACTTTAGTCAGTGCAAGACCGCTCAGGCCTTGTACGACGCTGTAGTTGCACGCTACTCCTCCCCTTCCTCCGCTACCCTTAGCCGCCTCATGCTACCGTTTCTCTTCCCTGACCTCGCTTCCTTTCCCACTGTCGCTGACCTCGTTACCCACCTCCGTGCTAGTGACACCCGCTACCGCGCTGCCCTTCCTGCTGAGTTCCGCGCTGCGAACCCTCCTCCCATGTACATCACTCTCTACTTTCTCGTCACCCGTCTCCCTGAGTCCCTTCGTGTCGTTAGGGACCAGTTTCTCTCTGTCTGTCCCACCACTCTCACTGTCGACCTCCTTGAGGAGTCCCTGCTAGCGGCTGAGAAGAGTATTGTCGCTGTAGGGGCCTCTCGGGGTGACCCTCGCACCCCCATCTTTGAGGGGTGTGGTCCTTCCCCCCTGCTGCCCTCTGTCGCCTCTGCCGCTGCGGCCGACCTCACTGGTTTTGAGTCGGTCGGCGCGGCGTCTGCCCCCAGCGGCAGACGCCGCACTGGCAAGGGCAAGGGGGGCAAGGGAGCGGGTGGAGCTAGAGGGGGCGGTGGAGGAGGCGGTGGGGGTGGCGGGGGGAGTGGGGGTGGCGGTGGGGGTTGTGGCGGGAGTGGAGGTCCTAGTGGCGGCGGTGGAGGCGGAGGTGGCGGCGGAGGTGGTAGCGGAGGCGGCGGTGGGAGCGGTGGGAGCGACGGTCCTGGTGGGGGAGGTGGAGGTGGAGACGGGGGTGGCGGTGGAGGCGGGGGTGGCAGTGGAGGCGGGGGTCGGAGTGGCTCGTCCCAGCGGAGCAGCTCCGGGGGTGGTCAGCGCCAGCAGCAGCAGCAGCAGCCGCAGCAGCAGCCACAGCAGCAGCAGCGCTCCCGCACCGTC